GCACCCACCCGGGCTGACTTCCGACCTGCGGGGGAGTGAGCGGCAAAACCTGCGGCAGCTGGGCCGGGGGGGGGGGGCTACTGGCCCTTGGGCCACCCCGGCTGCGTCTTGCGTGCTGCCCTCCTGCCTGGGAAATGGGCCGCCTCGCTGGCCCCACCCGGCTGTGCTCGGCATGGGCAAGGGTCTCCCGGCCTTTTCCCCAGGGACCTCTACCCCGCCCCATGCCGTTTGCCACCAGATCTTGCATCCACCCGCCGGAGACCCTCTGTTACTGTGCAAGCGAAGCAGATTTATTCCAGCGTAAGCTTTTGCAAGCTCCGTCCACTTCATTAGATGGCTCTGACGAAGAGGGCAGTGTGCTCGGAGGCTCATGCCAGAATGAACGTGCGGATTCGTCCTCCAGGTGCCACGGATTCTTTTCCAAATACGCGGCGAAGGACCAGCACGACGGTCCCGCTGGAATTCGTCACTTTGCCTGTTGCGGGGAAGGGAGGGAAGCTTCCCAGTCTGACACAACCACGCGGCGTCCCAGGGGCGACTTCCGGCACTGCGCTCCGTGTCTCATGGGGCATGTGGCATCCGGCGTTCTTTTAAAAATCCCAAATCCGCAACCAAAGGGAGCTTCTAAAATTCAGGGCGTGTACCTAGGGCTACCGAGGCTGGTTGGAGCGCAGTGCAACCAGGGATACTGATGCCGACCTCAAGCAGCGAGACCCCTGCGAGGATCCGCATGTGCTGCGAGGAATGCCATGTGCCATTCAGAGCAGAGAAGCGGGAGCAGGCCAGTGGCCTTGGTGCCTTGCCAGAGGGAAGAGCTGGTGCAGAGGAAGAGCCCAGCCTGGGACCAGGAAAGGCATCTGGACTCCACCCCTTGTGCAGCACCTGGCTGCTCTGATGCACCTGGACAAACCGGACTGGGGTGGCCTGGAGCATGGCGACCCCAGTGTGGCTGGACGTGCTCTCCCCAGCTGCTCCCGTCTCACTGCGCCTGTCGGGTCGAACTCGGTCCAGCGCCGGGCGAGGAGCACTCCGAGGGGAGGTTGAGGCATCACGGGGGGTTGGGGAGGGGCGGAAGACGGGAAGGAGCTAGCATGACTTTCCGCGACGGTGTCCCAGTGGGCCAGGTGGCCTTCCCAAGCTGCCAGATGTCCGCCCTGCCCATCTGAGCAGTCCCTGGTACTTTTCACGGATTCGCTAGTCAATTCATGGTGATCTAAATTCTAGGAAACGACACATCACTGGGCTTCCATCCAGCCATGCCTTCTTCCAGGAAACTTTATGCGATGCCCACCTGCTCACATTTGGTTTTCCTTCCAAATAAGCAAACCTCAGTCCCCGTAACGTTTCGTTCTGGCTATCTTGTGGGCTTGTGCCTTTTGTGCTTTTTGAAGAATGGCATCTGAGCAAGCGCCAGCTCTCTCCCAAGCTCACCCGTGGCCGCCTCTTATTTCTCCGCAGCCACGTTTGGCGACACAGCTGTTGGCGCTGGGTGGCTTCGTCGTCGCTTATCAGAAGAAAGATGCTGCACCGCCATCACAGAAAGAGGCACCCCACAGGCCATGAAGTGGCCAGAAAGCCCTCGCCACTGGCCCAGGTGCTTCGCCCGAGGCGGAAGACAGCGCCGAACGGCCAGAGAGGAGACCGGCGGCCTGGAGCAGGGAGGCTGAGAGCACCGAGCGAGACCTTTCGGCACCATGGCCCCAACGCTTTGCGCAGCGAGCCCTTCAGGTTGTTCTCCTGCTAAGGAAAAAGTCAGAGGCGACCGCACAAAGAGGCAGGAGGGGAGCCACTGAAAGGGAGGCCCTCTCTGGACCCCCTGGTCCTTTTTTGAACAAGGCAGCTGATGGCACAGAGCAGCCCCGCCTGGGGGCGCCCTGGAGCAATGCCTTGGTCCGCCTGGCCCGGGGTTGCCTTCCTCCGTGGGGCGCCAGACCTTCCACAGGCGGAGCACCGCCGGCAGCATTTTCCTTCCTGGTGCCAGACTGAGGACCCGCTCCCCCCCCCCCGGGGCGTGGGTTGAGCTGGTCAAGCAGCACTGCCCGTCTCCCAGGTGCGCCGGGTGGCCAGGCCCCGGGGCAGTCGGCGGTGCCCCCGCAGGCAGCCGCCGTGCTCGCCCCTTCCCAGCTGCCGGGCAGCGCAGCTCTTCCCCTCCCGGGCACCAGCTCCCCAGAGGCTGGCCACACGGAGAGCGACAGAGCCCCAGACCGCCCCAGACGTGCCCCCCTCGGCGCACCCGGGCGCCTCATCTGCACATCACATGTTGCATCAGGAGCGTCGTCTGCCCCACACGGCTTTCGATAGGCAGAATAATTAGCACTGCCAGGATGTTGCATTTTTAATGCTGTGTGCTCGCTTTCCATAATTTGCCCAAGGCGCCCATTAGAAGAGCTCGGGATGAAGTGCTCGCGCCCTCCCTCTCCCCCTCACGTTGCGTGTGTTGTTTTTCCTCGTTTGCATCGAGAATGCAAACACCATCTGTCAAGGCTGCGTTATCCATCAGAGCTGCTAAAAAGCCACGCAGGATCCAGCCACACCGCTCGGCGAGGCTGCCCGGCTCCGGCGCGTCCCACACGCCACCAGGTGGGCTCCTGCACGAGCCCCACAGCTGGCCTTCGCGGGTGCTTCTGGGCACGCTCGCCCGGTCCCCAGGGGCCTCAAGCTGTTTGGCAAGGAACAGTCACGCGCTCTGGGCCGGGCTCCCCAAGGGGGCCGAGTCAAGGGCAGGCACGCTGCCCGTCCAGCATGGAACAGCACTGCCCCCCCGGCCTCTGCAGTCCCAGGATTCGGCGCCCTGGCCGGCTGAGGACGGTGAGCTGGCCTGGAGGGCAGCTCCTTGCTGGACACACTGGGGTGCCCCAGGTCCGAACCCCACTAAGCCAGGAGCCTCTCCGGGGGGAACTTGGCCCAGCCGCTTCCTCTCAGCCTGCCCTGCAGGACTGTCACAAGGATGGAAAGGAGGGGTGAGGAAATCGGGTGCCCCGCCGCTGGTGCCTCGCTGGCTGGGGAAGGCGCGTGTGGATTCATCTTTCAAAACCTGCCTCGCTCTGTTATGTCTAATTGGCCTCTTGTAAATCCTGCAGCCGTGCTTTGAAAAGGAGCCATAAAGCAGAGGAAGACGGAAGGCAGAAGATCTGTTAAAGCCCTCAGAATACCAGGCCTCCTTTTGAAAGCCACGGGCACTGCAGTGCAGGCCTTCTGCGCACGGCCTCCGCTCCAGCCACGCTCCGTGGGCTCAGCCTGGTCCCTGTTGCTCGTGGGGCAAGGAAGGGGCTTCCTCGGCAGAGGGGACCCTGCACTGCCCTTGCTCACTTCACTAAGCACCGTGCCTCGCGCAACGACCGGGCTCAGCACAGGCCTGAAGTTCATCGCGCAAGCACCTTCTTCTCGGCTTTTTGGTTTTCTGCTTCCGAATCCGAGGACTGTTGCGCAGCCGCTCTGAGAGGTCGCTGTCCATGCGCTCCGGGCAGGGCGCAAGTGGCACTTGGCTCGCTATCTCACCGGGTTCCACCCTCCGGAACCCGCTCTGCCCATGAGGAAGGCATCCCTGGGCGAGGGGCTTCGCCGGGATGGGAGGCCAGTGGGGCTCGGCTCTCCGGCAGCTGCGGGAAGAGGCCGGCGCCTCAGGAGCGAGCAGGCTCCCCCAGCAGTTGAGCTTGGCAATGTGGCACGACTCCGCGCAGCTGGCAGCTGACCGCCGGCGGTGTGCAGCTGCGGCAGAGGAGATCAAAGGCGCGCCCCCTGTTTTCACTTGATTAGGGCTCCCCCCCATCCTGCTGGCGAGAAAGGGAATTTCGCACCGAACCTCCCGGGGAGGGAGCGTCGCTGGAGGAGGCTGCCCCGTCCTGGAGACCTGCTGGAGGATCTTCCCCCAGCTCGAGGCTGGGTGGTGCTGCGGGGGGATATTTGGGCAGGCCCGGCTCATGGCCAGGCAAGCGGCAACAGGGGGCAGGACAGCCCAGCCGCCCGGCAAGGACCGACCCTCCTTAGCCAAAAGGAGCGCCTGGTTGCCCGGGCCGTAAGCTGTACATCGAGCCCTGGGTGCAGCACGGGCTCTCCGTGGTCCTGGGGCTCCAGGCAGAGCTCAGGAAGACCCGGGTTCAAGCGCCACTCCTGCCCTGGACCCTGTGTGTGGGCCACTTTCCCGGAGCCCCAGGGGGAAGAGGAGCGGCCAGCTCCGGGGGTTGCAAAGTGGCCTTGCGAGCGCGAGAGTGCTCCCTCGGCGAGAAGCGGGCAGCAAGCGCAGCGCTTCCGCCTCGGCGTCCCCCAAGCGAGCCGGCCCAGAGGCAGCGATGTGCCGGGAGCGAGTTTCCGTGTGCAAGACCCACGGACGGGTCCTGAGGACAGGACAACACTCATGCACGCTTTCCCCACTTGAATGCACCCCAAAACAGGTCAAAACAAGCGCAAGCCGAGCCAGCTTCCGAGGGGTTACCAGAAAATCCTGGCAACCTGAGAAAGGGCTGCTTCTCCTGCTCCTGCTTGGAAGGAAGCCCACTGAGTCCCCCAGACTTCCTCTCAGGCTCAGCGCCCTTCATACTGCGGCTGGCGTAAAGCAAGACGCCGCTGGGCCCCCTCCGGACCGCGTGCGCCTGGCGAGGCTCCCCAGCGACGTCCCTGCCACGCGCAGGCAGAGGCGGGTGCAGGTCTGGCCCGGGGGGCACCCTGGCCTTCCACGTGCAAACAGCTTCCTCCCAGAAAAGTGCCCCGTGGCCTGCTTCCTTCCTGTCCGAGCGGCTCCCGCGGAAAAGTCAGGCCAGGCTGCGAGCAGGCGAGGCTGTCCCGGGAGGGCTGCCTGGAGGGGTGTCCTTGTGCCACCGGCTGCTCCCCCACGAACGCAGCGCCCGTCCCACGAGTCGCTCTGCCGCTTGGGGGATTTCAGAGCCCCTGAACCCTCACGCGGCCGTCTCGGCCCCTCTGCCCCAGGCAGAGCCACGGGGCCAAGCCGGGAGGGGCTCCCCGCAGCGGGGACCCGAGAGAGGCCGGCGTGCCGCCGTGCTCACCGATGGCGAACTCGTCGAAGGAGATGGTGGTGGAGTTGCTGCCGAGCGCGTTCGCCACCGTCAGCGTCACCTTGTACTTCTTGGACGAGAAGAGGTGGAGGTACCGGATGTAGCACCGGTTCTTGGGGGCCGCCTCCTTCTCGCACGTGATCTCCTTGGAGTCGTGCCTGCAGGGAGGAGAGCGGAGGAGGTGAGCTGGGCGGTCCCCGGTGCGCCTCTGGCGTGCTGGGCTCGAGGTGGCCTGCCCCTGCTCGTGCCCCCCAAACTCCCGTGGGACTGCAGCTCTCTGACGCAGCAGAGGCCCGGCTCTCGTAAGCGCCCAGAGACCCCCGCTGAGGGTTCGGGATCGCCCCCCCCCCGGAGGGTGCCGGGCTGCCGAGGCCGAGAAAGGCGCTCCCACAGGGACCGGAGCGCCCCAAGGCCTCTGGGGGGGGGGGCGCAGGCCGCGTCTTGCCCATCAAGCCTCCGCACGCGGAAACAACGCCATGGTTCGAAGGATGCCGCCTTCCCAAGCACGGCGACTCAGAAGCAAGCAGCAGCCGCCAGGAAGGGATGTTTAGAGCATGCTTAGGAGCAATGACTGAATTACGATTCTAATTTCAGATTCTGTTCGTTTTTTAAAAATTTTAGTCTCGAGACGCTGCTTAAGGCAAAAAAAATCATAATGATGGGATGAGAATAACAACTGGAGGGCTGCTGTTTGGTAGGAGCAGGTCTTCTGCAGGTAAAATGATGTGTCTTTGACAAGTATGTGGCAGGAATTCAACAGGAGAAGCATTCCCAACTTTACCTGCTCATTTCTGCCTGTTACCTAGCCCTTAACATTTCAGGAGCCCCGACCTGGCAGAACCCCAAACCCTAAGCAGCTCCCACTGTGGGTGATGTGCCCTTGGGCCACTGGGTGAGCAGAGGAAGGCCTTCCCCCGAGCCTCCCAGGGCCGACCGGCGGCTTTTGTGCCAGGGCGCTGCTTAGCTAGTGCAGCTTTTACTCTGAGCCACACAGGAGCGATCCAGGCACTTCGTGGCGGTGCACCCACTTTGGGCTGCCGTTCAACACCATGGAGAGCTCCTATCGCTCTACCGGCTCAGCGGTGCCACGGCACGGGCATCGCTCGCCTGCCCACGTTCCCCCACGCGTGTGGGGCCGGTTGCAGCCTTTCCCACAGGCACCACCCACCAATTCCATGCGAGACGCGCCACCCGCCTAGCTGCGGGCCGCTCGCCCCTGCAGAGCCCCCCGGAGCGAACGGGGTGAAACCGATCCTGGGCCGCTGCGGCGCCGGAGGGGCGAGAGGGAGGGCTGGAAGGGGGCTGGGTCCGCGCTCCCACGGCCAGGCAGCTCCGGGTTGGCTTTGGGGGGCCCCAGGGGCCACGTCAACGGGAAACGGAGCGCAGTGGCGCTGCCCCGCTTCTCGGGGGAAAGGCGGCTGTAATGCTGGCCAGTTCATGGGGCCCTCGAGCGTCTCTGCTGGGAAGCTGCTCACTGAGTGAGCCAGGCAGCCCCCCGACTGCAGCCAGCGGGGCCTTGGGCATGTGGGGCAGGCAGGCCTGGCCTCGGGGTATCAAGCCCTGCAGCAGAAGAGGCCGAGGCGTGGCAGAGGGCGCGAGGCAGCGGGCAGGCCTTCCCCGCCACCCTGTGCTCCGGCCCTTGGCGCACCTACGTGGTTAGCGTGGGGAGGGGGGGCCTCTTGGGGGGGGGGGGGGGGGGGCTCTGCCGCAGCAGCAGGAAAGGCCGCGGGGGAGGCGAGCCCAAGCATCTGCTCTGGGGCATGGGCCCCATGGCGGCCCTAAGCTGCCCCGCTTTTCTCGTTCCTGCTTCTTCAACATCTCTCTGCCTCTTTCTCCTTCTCAGAATGCTTCGAGATATTTGGCTTTCTCACCCCTTTTCTGAAACCTTCTGCCTGGGAGTGGGGGGGGGGGGCTGGAACGGAGGGCATCGCCCCCTGGAATTAAGGCCCGGGGCTCTGCAGGAGGCCCTGGCCAAGGAGGCGGCCACGGCTCGAGCGGCACCGTCAGCGCCACACCTGGGCCGGCCACCCACCGGGCAGCACGCGTCCTGCCCTGCCCCTCTGCCCTCGGAGCGCCCCCCCCCCGGAAAAGGCCGGGTGGGGAGGGCACGCAAGGAAGGACAATCGCCTGGCAGAGACGGCCAGCGGCCTGGCACTGGAGGGGTGGCTGGGCGATTTGGGGTCAAGGCGCGGCACCGAAGCATTCTGCCCCGTAGGGAGGGAGGAATGCCAGGTGTTCAGGGGGATTCCGAAGGGGAAGTGGCACTCGAGAGCATTTTGCAAATATACGTTGCTAAGTGGATTGCCGCAAGGAATGTCAGCAGAAAATCGGTCCTTGCTTTATAGACTGCAGCAAAGCCTTTGGCCATGGGGGGCCCTGAAAGAAAGGGGGGCCTCAGCCTTTGATTGTCCTGAGGCGTGACCTGCAGGGCGGCCAAGGAGCTTCCGTCAGGACAGGCCACGGAGGAAGGAAGGGGGTCCGGAAGCAACGGCATTGGACAAGGGGGCATTCGCACTCCCTGCCTGTTCAGTCTGTATGCAAGACACAGAAGGACCGTTGGATCAGGGCCGGAGGAAGGAGTGCAAATTGGCGGAAGACACACCCAGAATTTAGGAGAGGCCGACGGAGGCATCTTGCTGGCGGAACGCGGCAAGGGCTTGAAACGACTCCTGAGGAAAGTGAAAGAGGAACGCGCCCCAGCAGGATTAGAGCTGAGCATGAGGAAGACAACAGTCCTCATGGCTGCAGAAGCAGCGCATGGCACTGACCCGGTGAAAGGGCTTGCATATCTCAGCTCAGTTATCAATTCAAAGGGAGAGGGCAGCCAAGACCCTGGCAGAAGACTGGGAAGGGCTGGGGTGAAGGAACGAGAAAAGCGCGTTGCGTGCAAGGTCGTTTCAAGGCCAGGCTGATCCACACGCTTGCGAAGGCTGGATGGTGAAGAAAGCTGACCCCGGAGGAGAGCTTTGTGATGGAAAAGCGAGCAGGGCGGTTCTGCATCAGATCCAGCCGGGCCCGTCATTTCTGCGCCGGCACAGGCAGCCCTGCCGCTTGGCCCTGGGAGAGACGTACTGGCCGGCTCGGCTCAGAGGCGGGGGGCCTCTTCGAAGGCCGAAACTGGGCGGAGATGAGCGGCCTGCCTTGTGCCCCTGCCTGCCTGCCTGCCCGCCCCTCCGGACGGAGATCTGCCGGCCTCCATGGGGAGAGGCTGCGGAAGGGACAGGTCCCCCGGATCTGACGCCAAGCCGGACCTGGCAGGCCTCTCCGGGCTTCCCCAGGTACTTTCCTGTGGCTGAGAAGGTGAAACGATAGGGCAGTTTTAAGAGGACGGTGGGTGAAGAAGCGCTTCTGCCAAATGACGTCCCAAGCACCTCACAGTGTCCTGCGTCGCCCCCCCTGCACAAAGCGCCACCGGATCCGCCCCTGTGGTCCACCTGCGTTTCCCTCGCAATCGTTGCAGCACAAAGCATCCCGCCGTAGGACGCTGGGGCTCTGCTCCATCCCACATGGGGAAAGCCCCCCAGGCCGAGACGCCTTTGGGAGCGCCCCCTCACCCTCTGGCGTGTCCGCGGGGACTGAGAACGCTGCCGTCTTCCGCTTCCCGCCCTCCGCTCAAGCAGCGGCACACCCCGGGTGCCTTCTCAGCCGGGGAACGATTCCCACAGACCCGGAGGACTGCGCTCCCAGCCCAGTGGGACACCCGGAGCAGGCGCAGCGCTGCCCGCCCGGTCTGCCCACACAGCTCCGAACGCCTGCGCCGCCGGCCACCGAATGCCGAGCAGGTCGGAGCTCTGCGGTCTCTGCACCGTGGGCGAGAGGCGAGTCTGGCCGGCCGGGCACAGCGGGCCCCTTGCTGGGAGGCTCTAATGGACGACAGGCCAAAGCCTTCTTTTCACAATCATTAGGGTCCAGGAGACGGGCTGCCTCTGGGGCAGGGACCAGAGCGCCGGTTACGCACTTGCTCGACGGATGGCATGACACGAAGCCTGAGAGTCTGGCCCCCACCTCCACTGCCGCAATGCTCTGACAGGGAGGACGCTCTTCCCGATGTCACCTGCACGGGCTTGAGGCGCTGCTTTATGGCTCCTCTTCCCCTTTGGCTGGCTCCTTCCTCCGGCACCGGGCCGCGAGGACTCGCCCTTGCACCCCCCCGCCCTCCCCTGGCGATTAAGTGTGTGCAAGGGCCAGTGGCCCCCGCTGGGGAGAGGCCACGGCCCAGGGGGCGCATCCGCTGTGCGCAGGGCCCCAGGCGCAGCCCCCGCCATTCTCGTGAGAGGGGCCAGAGCAGCCTGCCCCATGCGCCCCGTGGCCTGGCCGCTCCCCTGGAAAGGGATGCTGTGGAGCTGGGGAGGGGGCACGGGGGGCTACGATGATCGGGGGCTGGGAGGATGGGCTGCACTGCTTGCGGCACTTCATTTGGAAAAAGGGTGGCAGGGCAGAGGTGTGCCAATTACGCCTGGCAAGGTGACCAGGGCGGGGGGGGGGCGCTTTTCTCCCGCTAGAAGCAATGGGTCGCCCCATGGAGCCGGCTGTGGGGCTGATCAGCGGAGGGCCTTCTGCACGGCGCAGGAGTCACTCCCGGGAGGTGTGGGGTGGCCCTCCACCCGGAGGGCTTCCGAAGGGGGCGGGACGGATTCCTGGAGGACCCTTTGCCCCGCCGCTGCCGCGGCCCTTCAGACTCAGTGGGCGGCTCCCTCCTGCCCCAGGCGGACGTGGGGTCACCACAGGGCTGTGCGTTCAGGGCCGCCTGACGGGGATCTCTCCGCCACAGATCCGGCCCTGCTGGCGGGCGCCGATACGAGGCTCTCCCCGGGCCTCGCGCGCCTGCGCCTCGATTTAGAGGAGATCTCTGGGGGGCGGCTCAGGCTCCGCGCACCGGCCTGGCCGGGGCTCCTCGCCTTGCCCGTCCAGCTGCCCACCCGTCCCACTGGCCCGCCAGCCCCCCTTGGCGGGGCGCACCTGATCCTGCTTTGACCGGCTGCTGACCCTGATCTGAGCCACGTGGCGACGGAACGGAGGCGAGCTCAGTGGCTTGGACGGACTGTCTGGAAGCAGGCAAGGGCAAGTTCCCGCAGAAGGCGGGTTGCAGAAGCCGGAGGTTACCCGGCGAGCGACACGCGCGAACGCCCCCTCCAGCAAATGAGTGACGGTGCAGGACCCAACCCTCCTCCTCGCAGCGGCCCTGCTCTGCCGGGTACCGGGGTGCCCCTGCCAGCAGGGGGCCAGAGGCGCCGGCGGGGGCTCCCAGGGGCCTGTGTCTGTGCCCGGCCGCCCCGCGTTCGCCCGCACCGGGGTGGACAGGCTGCGAGAGCCGCAGGGCCACGTGTTCTGGAGCTCCTGCCCCAGGGCTCGTGAAGGCCAGGCGCTGGTTCTGCGCCCGCTTCGGGGCGGGCTCCCCAGAGGGCTCCCGGGGGGCTTGCAGCGGCCTGCTCCACCCGGAGGAGGAGCAGCAGCATGTGAGGCTGAGCCCGCGCCCCCCCCGCCCCCCCCCGCCGGCCCCACTTACATCACGGTGATGTTGAAGGTGTCGGGGATGTAGGTCGGGCTGGGCAGGTGCCAGCTGCAGTAGAACCCGTTGGGGTAGTTGTTGGACCGGCACATCAGGACGGGCTCCTTGGGCGGCACTGGCAGGAGAGAGAAGCAGAGGTCACTCCCGGCCCCGCTTTGCAACCCGAGGCCTGGCCGCCGGCCTCCTCCGGGCACAGCCGCTGGACGAGTGGGACCTTCCGGGAACCGCAGGCAGGGAGGCGCAGCGCTCTCAGAGGGCCATTTGCCCTGGTGGGGCGGTGGGGTCATGCGACGCCTCGCCTGCACCCGCAGCCCGTGCTTCTTAGCACCATGCATAAGTGATGTCTTGCTTGCAGAGCAGACTTCCTTGGTGTGTTGGGAAAATTTGGATAAATCCTGGCAGAAAAACATTGCTTCTGTGTGCTTTTGCATTGCGGAATCAAGCCTGCGCTCCTTCTCAAAAGCACCAGCTTTCCAAGCTAAGTCACTGTTTAAAATGGCCTTCCTCCCCTGCTCCTTTCTCTCACCTTTAGCTGTGGGCTACAGTGCACAGGCCATTCAGTCCAAATATACATTACATACCTTCACAATAATTAAATAATAATCATTGTTGGAACTCACAGTTTACCAGGAAGTATCTTTTGCTAGGCCAGAGGGGTCCCTGTGCCCCGGCCATTCAGAATGGTGTGGATGCATTACTGAGGGTCTGAGTCTGGATGAGCTTATGAGGTCATGAATAGTTTCTCAGTAGCTTGAATTTACATGTCTGAGCAGACCTGGAGATGGGTTCAAGTTACTCAACTAAAGTGTCAATACAGGCAATTAGAAATATTGTAATCTCATTGTTACAGTGTGATTGGCTGATCTTCCTTTATCTGCTCTGTATGTGATGACCTCAGAATCTTACTGTAATGTCTGCATTCTGTCATCAATTGCCCTGTACCTGCGTACGTGACCAGAAGGGTATAAAATACCCTGTAGTTGTATTGAAACCTGGCAGCGAGTTTACCTCTGCCTGCACGGTAATGCATTATCGTGAGTCTACCGCGGGAACCTGGGCCAAACAATAAAGCCACAGATGGTCTGGACGCTTGATCTTTCCCACGAACCCGAGTTTTATTTCCTCCTCACGAATTGAGATTCCTTGATTTTCTGACAGGTGCAAGGCCGGGACAGGTTTGGGAAGCTTTCCCCTTCACACGACAGACATGCAAGGAGCAGCACGCCCCCGGTCCTGCTTTTGGTGCGGGAGAAAGGGGGGGGCTCCAGGTCCCCCCACCCCATTCCGTCATCTTCTCTCTCGGCCCTGCCCAGGAGAAACAGCAGGTGGCGCCCTGGAGTGCGCCCCCCCCCCCTGCCCCCGGGGACTGGGCGGCTGCCATCCCAGAATGCTCCCCCGTGGGAAAAGGCTCTGCGGAGAAGGGAAAAGGAAGGGCACGGCATGAGCCTTCTCCCAGGTGGGCTACCGTGCAGAGGGTGAGGGTGGTGCGGGGGCTGAGAGTGCGGGACCTGGGCTTGGGGGATCTGCTCCCCACTTGGCCGGGAAGCTCGCCGGGCGCCTCTGGGCCAGTCCCTGACTCTTGTGCTGACCTACCTCACAGGGCTGTTGTGGGGTAAGGCGGGGAGGAGCAGGGAGATTACGTGTGCATGGACGTATTCCATGTATTCCAAGGCTCTCTGGGGGTTAACACAAGTTACGGAAGCCGCCGGGGGCTCCTTGCTCCTTGCAGGAGGAAGGAAGGGGTGCAAGTGCTGTTGAACCAGAGCAGAGCAGCCCCCGCACTGGGCCTCGCTTCTCCCGGCTGCCCCTGGCTCTTCGCAAAGGCCGGCAAGTGTTTTTACGGGCGACCTCCGCTGGTGCCCGGAGGCCGCCCTGCAGCCTGGAGAGCCGTCGCCATATTCTGCCGCCTGTGCAGGCCAGGCCCCCGCCCCGTGCCGGAAGGGATGCCCACGCCGGTGCCAAGGCGTGTGACCCGAGGGGTGCTCCGAGGGGCTGGGCTGGGCCGGCCCCCTCCCGGCCCACCCCCCGGCCTGGAACGCCCTGAACCACGGGCTGAGCCACGGCCGTGCCCTCTTGGCAACCAGCCAGCGGATGCCGGCAACATCCTGGCTCCTTGGCCAGCAGCAGCAAAGCCGACCAGTTTCCTACCTTCCTTCCAAAACTGGGTGGGGGGCCCCTCAACCCGCATCCTCAAATGTTTAGAGCCATGCGCTCCAGGAAGATGAAATACAAACGCACACATACAACACGCGCCTGCTGGAGAGGGCTGACGGAGGAGCGTAGGCAGATCGGTCTGATTAAGAGATGCCTCCAGCCTGCAGGGCTGAGGCCTCCATAAAATTGACCTCTTGCTCACACGTAGCGAAAGTCTCGGTGGACATTTCAGCTCTCTGGGAAGCAAGAGGTGCACCCAGTTACGGTTAAGGGCACTTCGAAGCCGCGTGGAGAACAGGGCTCCAAGAACCGGGGCTCGGGGGGGGGGGCTGCTTCACTGGGCAGAGGCTCCCCAGGAGCCCCGGAACGCTGCAGTCCCCCCTCCATCAATCGAAGTTGCTGTTCCGCACGGCGCCCCCATGAGGGGAAGCCCCCCGAAAGTCCTGCCCGACACCCCTGCTTGCTCGCTGCTCTAAGCCCCAGGTGGGGCTTGCTTTCTGGAGTCAAAGCGTAGGCAGTGCCCTGTCAAGCCGTGGGAAGGCGCCCTCCTCTGCATATTCAGCAGAAAAGGCCCTGCAGCTCCCGGCCCAGCCCAGCCCAGCCCTCCGCGCGGCTGCAGGGTCGGGGGAGAGATGCAGGCCTTTTTCTGCCTAAACACACGCCGGATTGTGCCCTAAGCTACCTCCTGCCTGCAGAAACCACGCAGGTCCAGAAAGTGTCCGGGAAGGACTTCCTTTTCGCCTGTCCTGAATCTACGACCCCTCAGTTCCCCTGGATGACACCCCCTGCCCGAGCTCCTGCGTGGGGGGGGGGGAGAAGCCGTCCCCCCATCCCTCTTCCCCAGCACAGCAAGTATTTACTGGACGGGAGGTCACGAGCACACAGCCGCCTCGTGCAGTGTGGGATGCCGAGCCACGTCTGGTAATCGCAAGCATCCGTCAGGGCGCTGGGCCCTGGAGCCGCCCCATCGCCCCCCACGGCGCTTGTCGCAGGGCGCCCCCCACGCGTCCACTCCGAAGGCCGGAGGAGGCCGCTTCCCTCGCAGCCCACGTGGCTCCCTGCGCATGGCCGGCCGCCTCTGCCGCTGCTCCGGGCCCAGATCCCCCGGCCCTTCTGCGGGCACGCGGCTCCGGCCCTTTCCCTGCACGTGGCTCGGGGTTCCCTGCTTCGGTGGGAAGGGGTGGCCCCCCACAGGCGGGGGAACGGCATGAGGAGCAGTGCAGGAGAGAGGCGGGGGAGCCGCCACAGCATGGCGGGACGGGGGTGTGACGCTCAACGGGGGGCTCCTGGGCGCCGGGATTTCCCCCTCCTTCCTCACCACTGCTTTCCACAGGAAGTAAAAGGAGTCCCCTTCAGTCAGACTAAAGAAGCATCTGGAACAGTCTCCCCAGGTGCTGGGTGCTTTGGACGGCAACTCCCATCATCCCCAGCCAGCACGCTCTACAGTCAGCATTACCTTTCCAGCAGTACCCATGAGACGAGCTGCCCGTTCGTGGCCTCCCCCGCCCTCAGCGAAGGGTCCCTGGCCAGCAGCAGGGGCGGGCGCATCTCCGGGGCCTGCTCAGCCCCCTGCCTGGGAGCAGCCCGTGCCCCTGCCCTGCCCACCCAAGTCATGCAATGCCGCTTCTTCCCAGCACAAGCGTGGCAACCCCAAGGACCCGGGAGGAGCCGCCTGCCGGCTCAGACCAAGAGCTAGCCCGGCCCCGGGTTTGCCACGGCGGCCCCCAAGGGCCCAGGAGAAGCCCAGGCTGAGGCAGCGCAGAAGACTCTCCAGAAGAGCCCGGAGGAGTGACAGTCACGGGGCTGCATCCGCGGGACGGGGTCTTGCGGGGGCTGCAGGCCCTTCCCGGAAATAAGGACCCCCGAAGAAGGTCCCTCTGCGGGAGACGGCCACAGTGAGTCGGGCCACTTTGGTGGAAAGGGGATGCGAGTTTCTCCCGTCCCCAGACGCAGTGCTGCTTCATTCCATGGGGAGCATGTGCAGCGAAGGTTTCTGTGCATGGGGCACGGGTAAAAGCGGGGGGGGGGAGGGGGGAGAAGCCATGCAGGCAGGCAGAGCAGCACAGCCGGTCGCCTCTGGCTCCTTCCCCGGCGGAGGTGGGCCATTCGCAGCCCCTTGCCCCCGCTTCCTTCTCCTGCTCCCGCCCTGGTCCTCACGCCCCCCTAGCCCCCTCCTTTCCTTACCTCTGCTGCAGCTGCCCCCACCCACGGGGGCCACGGGAGTCAAACGCATTCACCCAACTGGACCGTGCGCTGCTGTCTCCCCCCCCCCCCCCCCCCTTTCCCCCCCCCCCGTTTTTCCCTGGGGGCCCCCCCCCGGGGGGGGGGGGGGCGCTCCTGCACACCCACGAGCGTTCTGCCCCTCTGGCTTGTGGGCATATTCGGAGCAGCGGTGCCCGCCCCCTTCTCCAGGCGATCGGCGTGGGGTTCTGCAAAGCTGAGGGGCTGCCCGGTAGGCCCCCGCTGCCATCAGACCGGCACTGCCAGCCCCCCAAGTGGAGGGAGGAGGCGGCACCGGGGGCAAGGGGCCCCAGCGTGTCATGGGCATTTCCTCTGGGGAAAGCCAGCCACATCGGGCGGCCCACCGCCCTCCTGCACGCGCTGCTTCCGAGGCGAGCGATGGGGCGGCAAGGCTTCTCATCAACCACCTTCCTCGATAAAAGACACAGAAACAGAGAGAGTCAGAAGGGGGCTCCCAGGCCATCTAGTCTGACCCCCAGCCAAGGGCTCCGCTCATGCGGCTGCCCACTCTTTTAATCTTGCCCCGACCCCAGTTTTATCCAGCAGCCGCGGGCAAAGCAGGGCGGAAACGCTTGAGCAGAAGAGCGACTTCCGTGGCTGCAGCTTGCTGGGCACGTACAGCTCCATCCCTCGGAAATGCTGGCTTCTTTGTTCTGGTCATAAACATTTTCACAAGTCTGTAACACACAAATTCTATGTGGTAACAGTCAACTCAGACTG